GTTCCTGGTGAGGACAAACCCCTGGAAAAAAAAAAAAAAAAAAAAAAAAAAAAAAACTAAAAAAAATAAGTCATCCCTCAGTCTGTGGGGCTTGGTTTCAGGACACCTTACCATACAAATACCAAAATCTGCAGATGCTCAAGTCCCTTCTATAAAACAGCATAGTATGTGTACACAAACCTATGTATATCCTCCTGTATACTTCAAATCCTTATACTTATTATCCTGATACAATGTAAATGGTATGCAAGTGGATTTTTTTTTTCAAATATTTTCAATTCGTGATCGTTTACATGTGTGTTTACAGAACCACAGATACAGGAGACTGGATGTAACAAAGACAGGTGGTCATGGATCCCTCTACAGAGGCTGTTTTAGATAAGTTTAGGCTGCACAGCTATGATCTTGGGAATTTTTTTTTTTTGAGAGGTTTTTGCTATAGGGCGTGTGCACTCACCAGAAAGAGAGAGACAGAAAACAAGAAATCACCCCCTTGGAGGGATGGCCACACTGCAATCCCTTCTCCTCCACTCTCCTCTCAAGATCTTGGGCACACACACACACACACACACACACGCCCAGCGTGAGTTTAAGCTACCAGGTCCAGGACGCGAACCGCAGTTGACCACATGGGAGTCCAGCGACATAACCATTACGCCAACTGCTGGTCCTGATCATGGAAACTTTTTATAAAATCATTTATTTAATCTTATTTATTATTATTATTTTTAAATTTGCTGTAAGCACATGTGCTGACCAGTGAGAGAAAGAGAGGGGGAAAGTGAGAAAGCAGGCTGCCAGGTCCAGGACTCGAACCTCTGTCAGCCATGTGTGAGAGTCCAGCACTCTTAACCACCATGCCACCTGCTGGTCCCCCTAATGAACTTCTTTATGACGGTTCCCTCTGATCAGGATCGAATCTAGGATCATATATTACATTTAGTCTTTAGTCTCCTTTAACCTGGAGCGGTTCCCCAGTCTGTTTCTCATGACCTTCACATGTTTGAATAGTGCAAGCTTTTTATTTTGTAGAATTTTTGTCAAATTTGGTTCCTTGTGATTAGAGTAAGGTTCGGCATTTTTGGCAGAAGTATTACAAATGATGTGTTGTCTTTGCATCTGTGTCAGGAGGCATATGATGCTAGCAGAGTCCAACCTGGGCACTTGGTTAAGGCTTCTTTGTAAATGATCATTTTATCCTTCATTTTAGTAATCTGAAGGGAGACTATGTGAATATCTTTTTTTTTTTTTTTTTTTTTTGGAGAGGTTTTTGGTATAGGGGACTTTCCATTGCCGAGTTTTGGCCTGTAGCTGGGCATGCATCTCCCTAGCTCCCTGCCTCCCCTAGGAACTGGGTCCTCCCATCTTCACTTCCAGATTTGAACCAGGAAAAGGGGAGATGGTGACCTCACCACGAATGCAATTGGGGTTGAGGTAAGGCATTGGGGATTTGAGGTGCTTATTACACCCCACACGCCTCCTTCCAGAGCACAGCCTGGCTGGGATCTCTTGTTATCTGAGTCTCAGTCCCTGCTTAAGACCAAGCTCAGTCTTAGGTCTTGGCTAGATTCAAGTAGGCCACTGGGGAGGGGCAGCAGAAGAGGAAAGAGCAAGAGTAAAGGAAGAGGCAGAAGGGATAAAGAGAGAGTGGAGGGATCAGCAATTGACATAATGGCTATGTCGCTGGATGGACCCCGTGACTTGGACTCACGCCATGCGCGTGTGCGTCCGTGCCCAAGATCCCTAAAGGAGAATGGAGGACGGACCCCATGACTTGGACTCACGCCATGCGCGTGTGCGTGCATGCCCAAGATCCCTAAAGGAGAATGGAGGAGAAGGGATTGCAGCGTGGGCATCCCCCTCTGGGGGTGATTTCTCACTTTCTGTCTCTCTGTCTCTCTGTCTCTCTGGCCAGTGCACCCACCCTGTAGCGAAAACTCTCCAAAAAAAAAAAAAAAAAGAAAAAGAAATCAACTCAATTCACACATTTGCTGAACATCTTCTATGTGTACGGCTAAACTAGTTATAAAAAAAAAGAGAGAGTGGAAGGGGGAAGGTGGGAGTCGGGAAGAGAGGGGGAGGAGGGGAAGGCCCCACTAACGCTGTCTTCCCACAGCTGAGCCTGCCTCCTCCCAGGGGCCATGTCAGAAGGAGAGAGCAAGGACAGCTCGGGCAGCGAGTGCCCGGTGTGCTACGAGAAGTTCCGGGACCTGGAAGGCGCCAGCCGGACCCTGAGCTGCGGCCACGTGTTCTGCCATGACTGCCTGGTCAAGTACCTGCTCTCCACCCGGGTGGACGGCCAGGTCCAGAGGACCATCGTCTGCCCCATCTGCCGCTATGTCACCTTCCTCAGCAAGAAGAGCTCCCGGTGGCCCTCCATGCTGGACAAGAGCTCCCAGACGCTGTCAGTGCCCGTGGGCCTGCCCTCCGTACCCCCCACGGACAGTATGGGCCACACGAACCCCCTGGCCATCTCCCAGCCTGTCTGGAGACCCTCCCCGAGCCAGGCGAGGCTGCCCGGCAGCCCGGGTCAGAGCGCCCAGCTCCCCCTGGACCTGCTGCCCAGCCTGCCCCGGGAGTCGCAGATCTTCGTCATCAGCCGCCACGGGATGCCCCTGGGAGAGCAGGACAGCGTCCTGCCGCGGCGCAGCCTGGCCGAGCTCTCCGAGGCGTCCCCGGCTCCCCGCTCTGCCCGCTCTTTCTGCTGTCGCTCGCGGGCCCTCCTGCTCATCACCCTCATTGCCGTGGTGGCCGTGGTGGCTGCCATCTTGCCCTGGGTGCTCCTGGTGAGGAAGCAGGCGTGAGGCTGGCCTGAGCGCTGGCCGTGACAGGGGAGGGGACAGAGGGGACCCGGTGCAGACCTGGTCCCACGGGGCTGGGAGGGTGGTCGGCAGGCAGCCAGGTGGCCGGGAGGACCAGGGCAGAGAGCAGCGTTGTAGTGACTGTGGTGGAAATATGGTGGTCTTCTCCCTTCATCTTAGTGGCTGTGGTGGAAATATGGTGGTCTTCTCCCTTCAACTCGGGATTCCAGCCAAGGCTTGGGCATGGCAGAGAGATTGGGGATGTTGACCCCTGAGGCTAGAGCTGAGCTAAGCTGAGCTGATGCCCCAAGTGTGGCTCCCATGTGTGCCCCAGCAGATCCCCCTCCTCCCTCCAGGCTGGGATCCAGCAGGCTGGAAGGATGGTCCTGCCCTCTAGGGGGGGCACTAACCCCCAGCAGCAGACTTTACCTGCCAGGTGACCAGGCTGGCCTGCCTGGGACAGGGAAGCTCTACTGCATGTGTCCTGCTCCATGGGACCCCACTGGTGGGACTCCTGGGGGCCACGATTCTCTAGCTTGCCTGCAGGAGCAGAGAGAGGGGGCTGTGCCAGGACTGAAGCCCAGGTTTCGGGGAGTCTCAGCATCCCATCCCAGCCCTCCCGGCCTCCAACCTGCCGGCCTGTGAGCTCTTCCCTGAAGGAGGAGCTGATCTGAGGCTATGGCCCAGAATTTCTGGGAGATGCAACACAAAAAAGGTCTTTGGGGAGAGCTGAGGTCATATCAACAAATAGGAGGCCAGGGCCAGCAGAGTGGCCCACACACAGAGCCAGAAGTCTTCCTGAGCCCTTCAGGCCCAAGGGGTGGGCCAAATTCTGTCTTGGGGCTCTCCAGGATGGACAAGGAAGGCAGGAAGGAAGGGGAAGCCAGACAGGTGAGACTCGAGTCAGCTGAGAACTATGCGGGCAAATTAACCCTTGGGGACTCCCGCCTCCCTCCCAGCCCAAGTCCTGTTCCTTGTGACCCAACCACTCATTAGAGGCTACACCAGCTGGGCCAGTTTCCGAGGCAGATTCCCAGGCTGGGCTGGGTGCGGAAGGGTGGAGAGGAAAACAGCTGTGCTTGTCAAGGAATGCCAACACCCAGGGACTGCCAGCTGCCCGCCCAGGCTTCTTTACCAGGGGACCTGCACTGCACCGAGACGAGGCCCACCAGTAAAACCACACACTGGAACCTGCCTGGGAAGCGAGGCATTTGGGAACAGCTAGTAGCTGTTTATTGAGGCCTCTTAAGTCCACCATCACCTGGAGATGGAAAACAACAAAACCCCCTGCTCTTCTCTCAGACAGGTGGTGCTTCTCAGTCCGCATGAGTCAGTTGGCTAAGTGTGGAGAGAAGGGACTTGTTCTCTGCCACTCAGCCAGTTCCCAAATGCCTGTAGTGGCTGCCATTTGGGACCCTTAGAAAATAGGTCCACACTACAGGGCACATTTGGGACATAGGAGTGTGCTTTTAAGCACGTATGGACTTCGTGTTTTTCCAAGAGAAGAACATAGGAACTTGGTGGGTATACAGGTAGATTCTGGCGGGGGGGGAGGATATTTATTATAGGAATAAAAATAATTCCCCACAGTGTTTTTCATGTTGTTCCATGGTGACATGTGGATGGTACTTCTTTTATTTTCAAACGTCAAAAGCTATTTTTAAAATAAAGGTATATATTTTCTCAAAGATCCCAGAGACTTTGCAGTATGTGTGGAAAACTCTGAGCTTGAACTTTGAGGATAGTTCACTTTACTTTGTTTAAGGCTGATTTATGTCTTCAAAGAGAAAGAGATAGACAAAGAAAAAGGCACCCCAACAAGGTCTTCACCCACCCTGACGGCTACAATCCCCCCTCGGCCAGCCCCAACCACGAGTGTGTGAGCACACACACCCTGCATGTACTCAGACACTGCCGGGCACCAACTTGGGACCTTCCCCTGTGGGTCTGGCATTGCAGAGTTGTGTCACTACTGCACCACCCATTGGCCCCTAGATAATTCACTTGATTATTATTTTTCTCCTTCTTTTCCCTCTCTTAGTTTACTATAGGGAGAGACACAAAGAGAGAGAAAGTGAGAAAGGACCCCCAGCTGGCGTGGTCACACCACAATTTCTTCTCCGGCCGTCTTCTCTTGGGATTTTGGGCACACTCGCACAGAGGCCAGGCATGTTTTTGAAGCTGTTGCTTAGGAACAATAGCTGACTCACACTACATAGTCCGCTCTCGTAGAATCCAGGCGCCCAACCAGCACACTACCAGATGGCTTGCATGATTCACTTTAGATGAAAAAGTACAGAAACACAACTGCAAATAGCTCTTACACATTTATTCATCCTCACTTGTGAAAGAAATGCCAATTCTGTTAGCAAGTCAGTTTTCACCTATTAGCTGTCAAACACTGAACGTGTCGTAACCCGCTCTGCTGCTGAGGCTGACGGAGGCAGGTGACTTGGTGGGAATGTATGTTGGTAATACCCCTCAAGGGAAACTTGACACATCGATCAAAATTCCCACTCTGACCCAGCAATTCTTGTCCTAGAAATACAGCCAACAGACATACTTCCATACGTGGTAAGCGACACGTGTACAACATACTTAACTGCAGTATTGTTTGTAGGAACAGAGGGTTGGAAAAACCCAAAATGCTCATCAATAGCATTTGGTTATTTAACTTAAAATATCATGCAGGATATCATGCAGTTATAAAAAAAGCAAGGAGGGACCAGCAATTGGCATAATGGCTATGTCACTGGACTCCCATGTTGTCAACTGCAATTCGAGTCCTGGACCTGGTGGCTTAAATTCATGCCGGGCGCGGGTGCATGCGTGCCCAAGATCCTGAGAGGAGAATGGAGGAGAAGGGATTGTGGCCATCCCACCTCGGGGGTGATTTCTCACTTTCTGTCTCTCTGTTTCTCTCTGTCTTTCTGGTGAGCGCACACATCCTATAGCAAAAACCTCTCCAAAAAAGCAAGGAGGGGGCCAGCAGATGGTGTAATAATTATGTAGCTGGATTCCAACATGGTTGACCACGGTTCAAGTCTCAGACCTGGTAGCTTGAAACTCATGCCGGGTGCATGTGCAGGCATGCCTAAAATAAAATCCCAAGAGGAGAATGGAGGAGAAGAGATTGAGGCGTGGCCATTCCCCAGGGGGGGTGATTTCTGGCTTTCTGTCGCTCCATCTTTCCGGCAAGTGCAGGTACCCTATAGCAAAAAATCTCTCAAAAAAAAAGGAGGATGGATGGCTGTGAGGTCTAGTGATTAAGGAAGTCAGAGCCCACATAGCCGACAGTACAGTTCAAGTCCCTGACGCAGCAGCTTGAAAAACACAGCAGCATGTGTGCATGCATGCCCAAGATCCTGACAGGAGAAATGGAGGAGAAGGGATTGTGGTATGGCCATATCCCATTGAGGAGTGCTTTCTTCCTCTCTCCTTTTCTGCATCTTTCTAACCACATGTGCCCTCTGTAAAATTTAAGTAAATAAACAGCAATACCAAAAGAAAACTTTTTTCAAATAAAATAAAAAAGAATAAGGGGGACCAGCAGGTGGCATGGTGGTTAAGGTGCTGGACTCCCACATGGCCAACCGCAGTTTGAGTCTCAGATCTGATAGCTTGCTTTCTCACATTCCCTCTCTCTGTCTGGTAAGCACACATGCCCGGTAGCAATTTTTTTAAAAAGATAATAATAAATAAAAATAAATTAATAATTCTTTTTTATTATCTTATTTAATTTTAAAATTTATTATTATTATTCAATTTGACAAGCGAGAGAGAGAGAGAAGTGAGAAGGTAAGCCACCAGGTCCAGGACTTGAACCATGGTTGGCCGTGTGGGAGCTCAGCACCTTAACCACCATGCCACCTGCCAGCCCCAAAATTAAACAAATAATTCTTTTTTAAAAAATGATAATGTATTTATTTCATTCCATTTGTTATTATTATTTTTTAATTTGACCAGATAGAGACAGAGAAAGGAAAAACGAGAAAGCAAGCTACCAGTCTAAGACTTGAACTGCAGTCAGCCATGTGGGAATCCAGCACCTTTAACCACACCATCTGCCAGTCCCCCCTAAACAAATAATTCTAAAAAACAAACAAACAAAAACCAAAAACAAGAAAGGGTGCTATGATCTGGCACGAAAGTCCCCATGATACAATGGCAAATGAGAAAAAGCAAGGGGTGGGTATCAGATACTATAGTTTGTGTAGAAAGAGGAGAGAATAAGAATTTGCATTGCTATTTGCTTATGTTTGCGTACAGATAGGGAAGATATACAAAACTAGTAACAATGAGTAATTTGGAAGGCGATGAAGAAAATGATGGAATGGGGGAGAGTTTTCACTCTCTCTCTTACACTTTCAATTTCTGGACCAAGTAAATGCATTTAAAACTTGAACTGAAAAATCAGATTAGAAGCAAAAGAGAGCTCCGGTGTGCACAGCTGCCGCCTGGTGCAAAGACAGCTCCGAGTGCGCTGGAGTGGCCGAACCACCTGTCCTGTGGTTGAAGAGTATCGGCCTCCGACTCAGAGGGCTGGTTTGTCTGGTTGGAGGTATGACACCGCTGCTGACCTGGCACCCCAAGGACTAAGGTAAAAAGTTTAACCTCCTCAGCATTCCCATGTTCCTGTCATTGTTTATGGTCCCATCATTAATGTGCTTTTGGGATTCCTCCTTCTCTATGTTTCCTTTTTCTTTTTATTTGTTTACTGTAGGGGACTGGCACTTGATGGAGAGAGAGAAAGACAGTGAGAGAGAGAGAGAGACAGAGAGGGAAAGTGAGAAACCATCCCCCACTCCCAGGGGAATGGCCACACCACAATCCCTTCTCCTCCATTCTCCTCTCGGGATTTTGGGCATGTACACACACACACACACACACACACACACACACACACACGCGCCTGGTGTGTTTTTCAAGTTGCCGGTTCTGGGACTTGAACCATGGAGTTAACTATGTGGGATCCAGCTGCCTTAACCACCACACCACCTGTT